CCAGGGACTAGAACCCACGGACGTCCTCGGCTCCCCAGCCCCCCCCCCCCCCGCTCTAACCACTGGACCCCACTCCTCTCCCAGAGCTGGGGAGAGAACCCAGGAGTCCTAGCTCTCTCTTCCCGCAGCGCTAACCATTTGACCACACTCCCGCTCAGAACCCAGCTCTCCTGACTTTGCCAAGTGCCTTACCCGCTGCGTCGCGCTGCCTGGCTGTTGTTAATTTGTAATGTTTTGTTCATTTACGCTGACTGGGACAGATTCCTTGGCCCAGGATATAAATCCCCCCCCCCCCCCCGGGTGAACAGGAAGTGGGGCAGGATCCGACTTCCCTGACTTAGGGACCAGAATTATGCAGCTACCAGTGGACGGTCCTGTTCTGCCAGCGCCTTTGGCAATAGGCCAGTGGGGTCTGCTAGAAATGTGAGGCTCTGTCACTTTCTTGGGGCACTTGTAGGATCGCCCCGCGCAGGCCCCTGGGGCCGGTCCTGTGGTTGGATCTGCTCTACCCAGGCAGAATGGGAGCTGTCACGGGAACGGAGCAGGGCGGATAGGGACTGGGGACCAGCGAAAGCTGCGGATCAGCGTGCGTTACGTGCCCCCCGCAGCCCCCTCTCTGTGCCTGGTCCCCACACGCTGTAGCAGCTCCTGCTTTTAGCTCCGGCGGTGTAGCCGTCACACCAGGACTCCTGGGTTTTCTTCCCAGCTCTGGGACAGGGAGGAGTCCCTTCGGTCTCTGTGCCTCAGTTTCCCCATATACACACACTGAACTGGAGGGAGCGCAAGCTGACAGCGTTTGCGGTGAGGACGCGGCAGGGCACATAGTGTGGCGAGTGTCAGGGAAAATCAGCCGGATCTGGCGACTAGCAGGGAGATCCCCTGAGGTGGGGGTTGCTTCTGGGATCTCCCCGGTCCCTGTTCTTGCACTAGGTCACAGCAGGGATCCCTGCCGTCTGGGGGGATCTCAGCCCCAGGGCTTCAGGCGCGGAGGGGAGATTCGGAAGGGTGGCCGGTATCTCTGTAGTTTGGGGACTGTCTGCCTGGAGCATCAGCGCACAGCTTTTCCCATTGGCGCCCAGTGTGGGGGTGGCAGGTGTCAGCGCCCTCCCGTGGGACGAGTTGAACAAGCCTCTGCTTCGCAAAGGAGGGTTGGGGTCCTTCCCGCGCCCGACCTCGGACCCT